CTTCCTGACCAGGCCATTTTTTGCGATACGGCACTGCGTTACTTTAACTGGCAATTGACCGGTCATGTAACACTGCACCCAAATGAAATGTCCCTTCCCCCCCCACAAATAGAGCTTTCTTTCAGTGGTATTTGATCACCTCTGCGGTTTTTATTTTTTGCGCTATAAAAATAAAAAGACTGACAATTTAGAACCCCCACAAAAAAAAACCAATATTTTTGACTTTTGCTATAAAGCATATCCAGTAAAAAAAAAAAACCTTAAAATAAAATTGTCATAAATTTAGGTCAAACTATATTCTGCTACATGACTTGGCTAATAAAAAAAGTTATATAGTGTCTACAAATGGCGGTATATATACGGGAATCTTTATTTTTTAAATACTAGTAATGGGGGCGATCAGCGACCTATAGCGGGCATTCGACACTGGAGGGGGGTTGAGGGAACTAACTGCCACTGACACTAATACAGTGATCAGTGCTAATAAAAAGCACTGACACTGTACTAATGAAACTGGACAGGAAGAGGTTAACATCTGGGGCGATCAAAGGGTTAACTGTGTGCTGGGAGTGTTTTACATTATGAGCTGTGTTTTTTTTACTAGGGAGACAAGCTGCTTTGTATTGCTCTGTTGTGCAGATTAATACAAAGCAGCCTGTTCGTGCTGACAGGGGAGAGATCTGTGTTGTTTACACACAGACCTCTCAGCTTTCACTGTTCCTCATCGAATCGCTGGGTGACAGCGGGAAATCTCCAGCTGGAGGTGCAGGTATAATCATGTATATATACGCAATTTTGCTCAGCTCTGCCACCCTGTAACAGTAGTTCTGCTATAGGGGTGGCGGGGAAGCAATTAATAAACCATTATTCTTCCATAAGTTTGTGATTGTGAAATATAGTGACCTGCAGTGTATCCACTAGAATGACAAAGCCATCAATCTGCAATCACTCTGCACAAAAACAGAGTAGAGAAAATGTTGTAGCTGGGGATTCACCATGTCGCCAAAAAGCTAACGCTAAGAGCTGAGATTAGGTCAATTTTAAAGCTGATCTCCAGGTTTGAGTTAAATTTAAATAGTTTTACAGGAAGCTTTGTATTTAACCACTTGACCTCCAGGCCTTTTTCTGACACTTTTGTTAAATTAGTTGGAACCCCCAAATTTTATATATTTTTTTAAAGCAGAAGCCCTTGAGAACAAAATGGTTGGTTTTGCAATTTTTTATGTTGCATGGTATTTGGACAGAGGAAATTAAAAGTTATTTGGGCAAAAATAAATTTTTTTGAATTGTAATGCAAAAAAAAACACAATACATACCAAACTTTTTGTAAAATATAAAAAGATGATGTTACACCAAGTAAATAGATACAAAACATGTTACACTTTAAAACCATGTACGCTCGTGCAACGGCGACAAACAACGCAAGTTTTACTATCCATATACAATGCACTAAAAGCCTTTACAGGTTACCACTTTAGATTTAAAAAGGAGGTCTAGTGCTAGAATTACTGCCCATGATCTGATGTTCACAGTGATAACTCACATGTGTGGGATGATCGCTGTTTGGTGCAGGACAGATGCATACATTCGCCTTTGCGTGCGAGCATAAAGGGCAGGGGCACTTTAATCTTTTATTTTTTATTATTGTGCTTTAAATTTTTTTTTTTTTTTTAATCAATTTTATTAGTCACAAGAAATGTAAACATCCTTGTGACAGCAATAGGCATATGACAGGTACTCTTTATTGAGGGATCTGCCCTTAAAAGCATTCAATATACCAAGATCAGTGTTTTTGAATGCTTTCAGTTTTTTTTAAAAACTGCGCCATTTAGTTCTGAGTAAACCGGAAGTGATGTCAGGTCATTTCTTCCCGGGTTACTAAAGTAGAGAGATGATCAAAGCCGATCCCAGCTTTGTTTGGCTGTCTGGCTAGCCAGCAGACATGTTGGCTGGTCACTCGGGTCTCCCAGTGGGAGGGGAGAGCCTGAGAGAGACACTGAAGGCTTGTAAAAGCAATCGAGCAGCTTGTTAGTTACTCCGATTGCTTTTACAAGAGAGCCATCCACTGGCTCTAAAAAGTGGTACCTGGATGATGACTACAGTTGCAGGCATCATCACAGTATAACTACTTGAAATCTAGTGACGTAGTGATTAATGAATGCATATAAACCGGCTGAGGTAGAGATCATCATGTCTTACACTGTCTCTCCACCTCAGCCAGAGGAAGTTTTGTATTAATTCAGAAAATACAAAGCTTCTTGTGAATGGCTGAGCAGTGCTCAGCCCGACTTGATTTTGTTCTGGGAATGGGACAGGAAGTTCTTGTCCCGCTGGTGGAACAGCCCCATTGACAATATAGATAAGACTACATGCAGCAAACAGCCGCTGCATCAGTTAGTGGAGTAAATAATTCATTTTGATCAGCTTGGTCCAATTCTACTATTTGAAACTTCAATAAAACCTAGAGTTAGGCTTTAAGTGCGATTTTTTTTCTCAATTTCATTTTTTTTTTTAAATGTACCTCTGTTGTGCAGAACCAAAACAGGGGATGCTTCCCACTGCTCAGTAAAAAGAAACTGGGGACATGTTAAACAAGATTGCTACAGACCACTGCCATTCCTGTTCATTTTGCTAAGCAATGCTCCCATTCCCACTACTGGAATAACTACAAAAGGGCTGCAAAGTAAGTAACATATTTGGCCTCATGCATTCCAAGGTGATAGACACTCACAGTTTGCCGCCGTCCCCTTCGCTTCTTGACCCGCCGCCTCCGCCTTTTACCCACACCACGACTCCCTTTAGACACCTTAGACTGCCCCTTTTTTCCTGTGGGGAAAAAAAAAAAAGAGAATGTTTATATCTACTGTCACAGACATTGAGGTGTGTGTGGGGGGGACTTTCAGTAACAGTACCAAATGTATACAAGTATATTGTATACCTTCTCCTTAAGAACCACTGAGAGGGCAATACAATATATACATATGGAGATACAGTGAGTATAGAAAAGTATCACCCCCATTTAAAATAATCACATGTTGTTGCTTTGCAGCCTGAAATGAAGACAGACACTATTTTTGTTTTACCCAGCTGCATTTAAGCTCTATTTATTTATAAATCAAAAACAGAATCACTGAGTTGGAAAAAATAAAATCACCCTTATGTCAGTATTTTGTTGAACCACCTTTTGCTTTAATTACAGCCTTTAGTCTCCACTAACTTTGCACATCTAGACTTTGCAATATTTGCCCACTCTTCTTTGCAGAACTGCTCAAGTTCAGTTCAATTTGATGGAGACTGTTTGTGGACTGCAATCTAAGTCATTCCACAGATTTTCAATGGGATTTAAGTCTGGGCTTTGACTAGGCCATGCAAGGACATTCACCTTTTTCTCCTTCACCCACAGTGTGCTCAGGGTCATTGTCATGTTGGAAGGTAAACCTTCTTCCCATTGATAACTTTCTTGCAGAGGGCAGAAGATTTTGCTCAAGAATTTGACGGTATTTTGCCCCACCCATTTCGCCTTCTATCCTGACAAGTGCTCCAGTTCCTGCTGCAGAGAAACACCCCCATAACAGGATATTACCACCTCCATGCTTTACTGTAGGAATGGTGTTATTTGGATGGTGAGATGTATTGGATTTCCGCCATATTGTTTAGAGTTGAGTCCAAATCATTCCATTTTAGTCTCATCTGGCCATTTTTCAATGTAGCCTCAGAATCTTCAAGGTTAGTTTTGGCAAAGGTCAGTCATGACTGCATGTAGCCTTTCTTGAGGAGTGGCTTTTTTCTTGCAACCCTCACACACAAGCCACATTTGTGAAGAATTTGTGATACTGTTGTCTCATGCACACAATGACCACTCTCTCATTAATTTCTGCAACTGCTTCAGAGTTGCTGTAGGCCTCTTGGTAACCTCTCTGACCAGTTTCCTCCTGGCTCTTCCATCCAGTAAGGAGTGAGGTCTTGATCCAGGGAGAGTCTGTGTTGTACCAAATACCTTCCACTTCATAATAGACTTCACTGTGGTTCATGGATAAAGCATTTGAAATTGTATCCATCAACTGACTTGTGCCTGTTCACAACGTTATCCCAGAAATCTTTTGACAGTGCCTTGCCACCCATAGTTGTCTGCTTCAGTTGCACTACCAGTGACGGAAATGCTCCAGGAAAGCTCTTTTCGTGCTGAGCTAATCAAAATGACCACAGCTAATCACAGTTGAAGTCAAATGGCTTTGTGTGCCATTGAGAAGATGATTAGCAACACCTGATTGAGTTTACAAGTCATTTTTAGGAGGGGGGTATTCTTTTTCCAGCTCATTGAGTCTGGTTTTAATTTTTTTTTTATTTTCTGACATGTTAGTGCAACTTATAACATCCAAGTGAAAGATAAAACAGTAAACACAGCAGGATAAAACAACATTCTGTATGCCTTCATTTCAGGTTGCAAAGCAACAAAATGTGATAATTTTAAAAGGGGGGTAATTCTTTTTTATACCCACTGTAGGTATACATTTCTACCATCTTTAGATTTAAAGCGGAGCTCCACCCAAAAGGGGAAGTTCCGCTTTAAGCACTTGTTGCCTGCTCCCCGTTAAGGATTGGCACCCTTGGGAAGCAGGTACCTGAAATTGACCCCCCTCCTCATAGTCTTCTAGGACACGTGACAGGTCCAAGAAGACTGCGGGGCCATTCACAAAGCGCAGCACTACTCGCGCATGCACAGTGGGCACCCAGCTGTGAAGCATCAAACTGAAAATGCCGGAGCTGGGGAGAGAAGACGACTAGTGAAACCAGCCATGATAAGGACACCGCTGGACCGAGGAACAGGTGTCTGTATTTTAAAAGTCAGCAACTACACTGGAACTCCACTTTAAGAATCAACACTGCTGGATCTCAAATTACAACAGAGAGATAAATTCAAACAGACATTCATCTAGTGTCTGATCAGGTGCTATCTTTCATTTCTACTCTGAAAAAGAAAAAAAAAAGGATGGTGTAGATTATGAACCCCATTGTCCTGGTTGGATCTTCTTGTGTTTCCTTCTCTGATACGCACCGACTCTCCTCCTTCTTCTGGTAGATGCAGGACGAGGGGTAAGATTACGCGTGTACACAGCAGTGTTCAGTCCAGCCACAACTGCTTCAATGGTTTCATCGAGAAGAGATGACAATAAATATCTGGGAACATTCTGTGAACAAAATAAAGAGGTTATGAAATTAGGGTAGAAAAAAGAATAATCATTTTATCTGAATGCAACCAAGGTCTAACTCCACTCAAGAGTTTGTTTCTCTTTTCAGGAGACTGGTAGTTTGATTTCCTACTAAACCATTGCAGATATCTAGGAACCTGGGCAAGCACTTTCACTGTGGCTATGCATCTCTTGCTTCCTTCTGATTTCTCCATAAGCAAGCCAAGCAAATTAACTGGTAAAAAGCATACGCTGCTCGGCCATAACTTTATGGCCACCCATCTAATATTGAGCAGATCCTTCTTTTTCCACTAAAACAGCACTGACCAGTGGAGGCATGGCGCCACTAGACCTCTGAAGGTATGCTGTGGTAATTAGCACCAAGCCATCAGCAGCATATACGGTAAGTCCTGTAAGTTGCGAGGTTGAGCCTCCATGGATCGGACATGTTTTTCCAGCACATGCCACATATGCTCAATTGGATGGACATCTATAGAATTTGGAGGCCAAGTCAACACCTCAAACATGATGTTGTGTTCCTCAGATCAATCTTGAATTCATCAGACCAGTCCACCTCTGATGCTCAAGTGCCCATTGTGGGCGCTAATGGCTGGGGACACTGGTCCATTTTTTCTACTTTCAATACATTAACTTCAGGGACAACATGTTAACTTATTGCCTAATAAACCACGGACTTTCAGATGCCTTTGTAATAAGATAAACAATTTTATGCCCTTAACCTATCAGTGGTTAAGCTATGGCTGGTCTGTTTATATCAGAAATTTCTCACAGGAAGGGTAAAGAATGGTTGATAAATAAATGTCCCTATCAGTGTCCCAGACACCTTAACATCTGAGCAGCTTTAGCCACTTCATTTCACCCAAAGAATAACAATTCATTTTAAATTAAAGTGTTACGAAACCCAGGACCCTGCATCCACTATATCTGGTCTCCCACAGTACACACAACATGGAAACTGCTAAATACCTTTTTTTCATCAGCAGTTTTGTGGCTTCTATCAGTGTTCAGTCAAGCATTAGGTAGGAGCTTGTAGGAGGTGTTTTCTTTCTTCTCTAGGATGCAAAACCCCTGACCTCTGTCTGACCAGTGCTGATTGGCCCTGTGCTAATCACATGCACTCTCCCAAGAAAAAAAATAACCTCTCTAGCAATACACACCAAACTGAGCATGTGCAGAATGCCTTCAGTCTGTCTTATCAGGAGATAAGAAGTGGTCGCTTGAAAAAGGAGAGAAACAGACGAAAGGATCAAATGGCCTTTTTACACAATGCAGAGAATTAACCCCTTAGGTTCCACAGGGAGTATAACAAGCATCCTTTACTGCATATACAGACTGATTTTCCGGTTGTGGGTTTAGTAACACTCTAAATTGTTCTTTAAAATCCAGCCCCTACAAGGTTTTTACATTTTTTTTAAACCTATTACCATTTTCCATGTCATATTTAATTTCTTACTGAACTAGCTGTTAATAATCCCCAGTGAACCACTGTCAAAAAGTACAACAGAATCTGCACTTTTGGCTCTCTGCTGCATTGAAACAGGATTCATGGCAGACACACCAATTCTGGTGTTGTGCCTCCACCATTCTCCATCTGCTGTTCCATTCACAAAGCACCATCACACTATCAGCCTGCTATACTTTGTCAAGGCCACTGCAAAGGGAGATGGCAGAAGCACAGCAGCACACCATATGTCCTTATACTCTGTCTCGATGCAGCAGAGACTAAAGTATGGCTCTTGCTATACTTTTTGGTATTCGCTCACTAGGGCTCAGTAACAACTGTTTCTTTAAAAAAAAAAAAAATCAGTAAAGGGACTTATCAACAGGTTTTTAAAAAAAAAATTAGGGACGGAACTTGGGATTGGGATTGAAAGTTATACTTCAAATCTACCACTACCATTACCTGTGTGTTGCGTGCTGTTGTGCGGATCCTGTTGACACTGGCCCTAACCCTCTCACTCTGCCTGGTACGTGCAATGGCTCGAGTCCTTACAATATTGGTCCTGAGCCGACTTGTGGTGGGAATCACATCGGCAAGCAAGCTGGTCACCTCTTCTTCACTCACTTGATCTGTCATAACAAACACGTACAACACAGATTTATTGATGGGGATTATCAGCCTATTTCAAGCCCACATTTTTAATTTTTTGATCACATGTGAAAGAATTCAAACCCCTAGTGTTTTGGTTTTTTTTTACTGCTTTCCAGCAACCTGCTAACCTGTCTGTGTTACTGCTGGAGATTATACCAGCTTTCTTTTCTTGTAAAACCAATGTCTACGTAACAGTAAGTGAAGAGAGCTCTTTAATGGGAGACCCAGAAAACAAAACAAAAAAATAAATAAATCGAATCCTTCCCTACTCTATCAAATCCTAAAAATCTCCAGCATTTGGAGACCCTCATTATCTATGTCACAGGGAGATTACTGATCTACAGAAATTAGTTATGCAATAGGTGCGTAGTGAGTGCACTAAACTCAGCTCTATGTATGGATATTGGTGTATCCTGGCACTTGCTGGGTGTGGGGAGGAGGGGTGGTATACATCTCCCAACCTGTAGTTCTCATAGAAGTAAATTTCCAAAAAAGCTCCAGAGCAGTCGAAAACCTTGGTTCTGCTAACTAAACAGCAGAATGTCTTCACAAACAAAAAGAGGAAGAAAAGATCAATGCTGGCAGATCCTGTTGCAGCCCATTAACTCAGGGTAGGAAAGCAGCAATTGAAAAAGATTTCCTAACCAACTGATGTTTCCCCAAACAGCTGTCAGCATCAGGCATCCACCTGCAACCATAGATATGAGATGGTCACCTTTCTATGGCTGCTGGAAGAATTAGTGCCCGACAAAAGCCAAAACTTTGTTCTAAATACAAATCTATGTACTGACAGACTAATCTTGTGAATCTTGTGAACGTATGGTGGTGTAGCAATAAATAACATACCGTCATCTGGCTGGTTAGTAGCAGCACACTCTGGACAGAACCATTCATCGACTGGAACAGCATTCAAAGGCGGTGTCAGACATTCCATGTGATACCTATGGAAGATAAACATTTTCCCTAAATGAATGTTAGGAATAGCTGTAGGAATGGTAGCATTCAAAAACGCAGGGAAATAAACATTTGAGAATTCTGCATACAGATTACCCACATCCAATTCAAGGTGGCAGCTTAAAGCGGGATTAAAAAATTGTTATGGGAACGTGGCTATCAACATTGTCACTGCTGACTCACAAGCCTGTAGCCTATTAACAAGCTTCAGGCAATTTCACCTTACCCACTGCTTTCTGGATTGACAGCACTGCCTCTGTTGCCAAGAGCCCCCACTGCGAGTTATAGCATCTTTGGGTGGGGGGAGAAAGTGGGACACTAAAGGAGCATTTGGCTTAGTCAAGGAAGGCAAAGTAAAGTTTTTGTTTTATTTTATGAGGTTTGTTTAACTATGTCCAAATGTGTACCAAATCATATAATAACTGGGTTTTATACAGGTTTAGATTGTCATACAGCCGCCTTTAACCACTTTCCAACCGCCTGCAGTACTTGTACCCGCAGATGAGTGGCAGCTACAAGCAGAGCAATGTACCAGTATGTCGCACTAACACAAGGGGATGCTCCGCACCCCCTCCCCGCGACCGCTGTGTCCACCTGGAGGGAGGGGACCCAGTGGTCATGTGATCACGTCAGCAAAGCTGTTATGAGAATCTGATTCATAACAGCTCTGCTTCTCTTCCTAGTGATCTGTGATTGGCCCACAGCTCTCACATGGTACATGGGCCAATCACAGCACCCTGTACCATGTTATCAGCTGTAGCCAATCACAGATCACTAGTATTTTGAATAGTCATGAACTTAATCTATTCATGACAGTTCAAAGCCAGCATTGCATGAGCAATAATCTTTTAAAAAAAATAAAATAAAATAGAGAATTTTTTTTTTTTTTTTTGCCGATTACCCACCTGCTATGCATGGGCAAGTGGTGGCTCTGGGCAAAGCGATTTACCCTTGCGCTGCTTTCTATTTCCAGGTGTGAGCGCTCCCTGCTGCCCCAGGACCTGTTGGTCCAGGGAGAGAAGCAAGAACACCACGCTGAGTAAAAGTACTACATTTTACAAACATGCATTAGATTAGCCCATTTAAGACTTTGATAGCCCTTATTAACCTTTTGATCACCCAGCCAGTGCCATTTGTACAGTGTCAGTATATAGAATTTTAAACTGATCGCTGTATTACTGCCACTAGCGACATCAGATAGCGTCAAGGTCAGTTAGCAACCCCCCCAGCCAGGGTCAGCTAGCATAAGATTGCCAGCACACTATCGTACTCACGCTATAGAGCACTGATCACCGCCATTACTAATATAGTGTTTGTACGGATCAACATATTGATCATGAACAGAACTAGACTAGTGCCCCTCCCCCAGTATAGTGTCCCCAAAAATGCAGGGTTAGCAGAATCAGCCCCATTCTCTGCCAGCACTAGTGTTTTAGCCCCTTCGCTGTTTTTTACGGAAGCTTTGTATCGATTGTGGTCCAAAGCAATTCATACAGAAACAATACAACACCGCCCACCCAAATTCAGCTCTTGCCAGACAATTTGCATGGAAACCTAACACAGTTTCCAAATTTAAAAAACGTTTTTAGGCCTAACCCTCAACATGTGCATTACAGAAAAAAGAATGAATTGTGGTCATATTGGTCCACAGACCCAATCATATGCCCATGTTTTCTGCTGTTACATATATGCCCAACAAGGACCAGAAACGTGGTTATAGCAGGATGATGCCTGCAGCTACAGGCAGCCTGGTATAATTTTTTTCAGCTGGTGGTCGGCTTTCATGTAAAAAGCAGTCCTTGAGGCTAATTAACTGCTGGATCGTTTTCATGAGCAGTGGGAAGGGAATGCAGCTAGCGATTCCGCCGGCTGACCATACAGCAGATCAGGGACTGCAATGGTGCCAATCATCTCTACGGTCTAGGAAACTGGAAGCAACGAGCATTTCATAATTTTGGTTTTGTCTGATATAAACAGCACCATGTTAAAATTGGGAAAGCATCTGATCGCACCAATCTTGGTGTGATCAGATGCTTTAAGCGCAGAGGAGAGATCTAGAGTCTAATAGACCCCAGACTTCTCAGAAGAGTACCTCGATACCCTGTGATAATGCTAAAAAAAAAAAAAAATTAAAAAAAAAAAATTCATCCCCGCCGCTCCCCATGCTCGAGCGCAAAGGCAATCACAAGCATTGGTCTCAATCAAGGGCAAGTGTCGGTAAGATCGAGGGCAGTAATTCTAGCATTAAACCCCCTGTGCAAATCTAAATTGGTAACCTGTAAAGGCTTTTAAACTGTTGTCTATGGATATTAAAAATGTTAATAATTTGTCACCATTGCTTGGGCGTGCGCAATTTTAAAGCATGTCATGTTTGGCATCCATTAACTCAGCACATCATCCTCTTTGATATTTTATCAAACTGGGCAACATATTGTGTTTTTGTGCTTTAAAATTGTTTTTAAAAAAAAAGTGAATTTTTTCCAAAATATCTGCGTTTGAAAAATCGCTGCGCCAATATTAAGTGACATAAATTTCAACACCCACCATTTTAATCTCTAGGGCCTCTGCTTTAAAAAATATATACATGTTTGGGGGGTTCAAAATAATTTTCTAACAAAAAAGTTTTTTTCATGTTAACAAAAAATGTCAGAGAATACTTGGTCTTCAAGTGGTTAGAAAAGTGGGTGATTTGTGGCATAAGCTTCTAATGTTGGTCCTGAAAAGCCAGGATAGTAGAAGCACCCCCTCCCCCCCAAATGAACCCTTTTGGACAATTAAACAAGTTTTTGGAAAATGAAAAAAGAAAACGAAAAAAAAAAAGCATTTTTGACAGAAATAATAACTGCAAAATACTCACCATTCCTCTTATCAAAATTTTTTGGGGTGTCTACTTTCCAAAAAAGGGCTCGTTTGGACTATCCTGGCATTTCAGGGCCTCCGAAACTGTGATAGGCAGTGACATAAGGAAGCATGCCCTTTGAAAGCATAAAAGGTGGTCATTGGATTTTAGGGTCTGTATGTGGCTAGGCTGCCAAAAAGTCTCTCACGTGTGGTATCCTCATACTCAGGAAACGTAGTAGAATGTGTTTTGGGGTGTTACTTTACATATAACCAAGGCATGTGTGAGCAACATATCATTTAAGTGACAACTTTGAGTTAAAAAAAAAAATTTGTAATTATCCAAACAGTGGCAAAAAAATTAAATCTTACACGGACTCAACATGCCTCTCAGCAAATTCCTTGGGGTGTCTACTTTCCAAAAAGGGGTCATTTGGGTTTTTTTTGTACTGTCCTGGCATTTTCACACCTCAAGAAATGTGATAGGCGGTCAGAAAAGAAAAGTTGCGTAAATTCCAATATATATATACACCACAGTTTGTAGATGCTATAACTTTCACACAAACCAATTATATATACACGTATAGGGTTTTTTGGGGGTTTTTTTTTGTCTTTTACCAAACACATGTAGCAGAATTTATGCGCCTCTCATATATTTTATATATATATATATATATATATATATATATATATATATATATATATATATATATATATAAAACTAAATTTGAGTTTATAGGATTTTTTTTTTTTTAGAAAAGTAGAAAAAAATAACTTTTTTTTTCCTCCAAAATTTTCTTTTTTCGTTTAGATCACAAAAAAAGAAATTAAAAAAAAAACTCAGTGATGATCAAATGCCACCAAAAGAAAGCTCTGATTGTGTTAAAAAGGATATACATTTCATTTGGGTACAGTGTTGCAGGAGCACGCAATTGCCAACTGAAATAGTGCATTGCCGAATAGCAAAACATGACCTGGTCAGGAAGGGGGGCAAACCTTCCGGGGCTGAAGTGGTTAATAATCCACTAAGGATAAAAAATTCTTTAGCAGACCATGTAAAGGTAGGCGGACACAAACGTGCTTACCCAGCATCACAGCCATCACAAAGCAGCAGTCTATCTTCACGGTCACTGCGTCCACAAACTTCACAGTTTGTTGGATCCTCTTCCTCCTCTGTGATTGCATTTTTGTTTTGTATAGGGACCTAAATGAGGGGAAAAATAAAAATAAAATTTGGTAATGTGTTCTATAGCTTGCACAACAAGAATTATTGCTTGCATTTATGCATATATTGCTCAGCATTTTCTAATATGAAATGGTTAAAACCACATTCTGAGCAATATAATTTCCTGAGCAGTTTAGGTTTTAAAGGCTTTAAAGAGAATGCAGTCAATGTTTTTGCTGAATGATGGCTAAAACCAATTGTATTATCAAATTTCATTTAAAATTATTAGAAAATGTCTTCTCTGTATATTGCAAAGATTTAATCAGTCATTTCTGCCAGTTCCTACCCACTGGTGATACTCTAGATTTAATATGAACACTCTTTGCCCATGGTCTGTAGAGGCAACTGAGAGGAATGTATCCTGTCAGTGGCATAGACTGTTTCCAATGCAGCAAAAGCCACATTTAAAAATTTGCAAAAAAAAATTTTTTTAAAAAGTGTGTTTGCAACCCTAGACTCCTGTGAATACAAATATGTGCATGTAATAAACGTGAACAGCTGGCTGGCACTAAATAAGTGTTTGACACCCACAACAAGCTTGCATAAAGATATAAATTAGTGCAGCGCTATTTAGCTTTCTATTCCCATGTGAGCTGAATTGTGTAGTCAACAAAGTATATTAAAATGCAAAACAGTGATAATATGAGAGAACAAAAACCTCCTGCTAGCATACAAATTCCTTGTGAAAAAAACTTTTCCCAAATTCAAATCGTGGAACAGACTTTTCAAAAGTTGCTATTGAAACAATAGACTTGATACAGAGCAGAACATTACCTCCCCAAAATTAGTTTGTGATTTAATCATCAAAAAATAAATGAGTAAAAAAGACAAACCAAAAGCAAATTTCATGCTGAAGTAAAATTACAGTACGCTGATAGCAATACAACATCAGGTACTTACACTAGCTTTACTTAAAATATTCTATTTTTAATGAGGAAATAACTGCATAAAACTGGTGCTTTTTAGATCTACTTGCTTTTAGATTTAAAGTAGTTCTAAAGAATGAAGGGTTTTTTTGTTTTTTTTTTTAACCTTCATGCATTCTATGCATGAAGGTAAAAAATCTTCAGTTTGCACCTTCCCCCTCGGCCCCCCTTAGGCTCCGTTTACATACAGGCTTTTTGAATCTTGGGCAGAATCACTACAATTTCAAAACGTACTGTTAAAATGTCAAATTGCACATCAGCATTGCGATTTTCACGCAATGCATATTGCCCAAAAGACGTTCCAGGACTTCTTTTAGATAACACACATCATGCGATTTGTTGCGCAGCAATCGCAGTAGATCACCCTGCATTTTTAGGCTCTCTCAGGTCTCTCCCTCCTCACTGGCTGAGACACACCGGGATCCATTGACTCCCTCTGTTGTCAATCACAGCCATTAAGGAGGGAGCAGGAAGCAGGGCCAAGCACAAACTCTACGTGTCTTAATGACACACAGAGGCAGCTCAAGAGCAAGTACGCACGAGTGCCCTCAAAGCAAGCAGCTTCTCTGGGAGTATTCAGCAGGGAGGAGGAGCCAGGAAAGCAGGCAGGGGGACCCAGAAGAGGAGAACTGGGACTGCTCTGTGCAACACCATTACACAGAACAAATATGACATGTTCATTATTTTAAAAAAAAAGAAGAAAAATGAACCTTTAGCATCACAAAGCTTAAACACAATTACGGTATACACTAACTTCTGTTAAAACATTTAATGCTTTTTCCATGAAAGAACTGTATTCATTGGTGCTTTGTATATCTACTTGATTTATTTAAAGTTATAACATTTATGGGGTAGTTTGTGGACAGTCAAAATAAAGAACAAACATGTTCACATAATGAAGTAATACAAGTTTAAAAACCACCCAATGTAGATTTCAAGAATCTGCATAATATAAAGCTATAACAGTAATACATAGATCTAAACAATGAATAAAGAAATACTGTTTTCATTTACATTTTAACCCTACATGGTAATTCAGATAAAAGGAATCACCTTTTTCAGGATCTCACCACCATAATGTGCCCGGATATGAATGCAGGAGAAAGTGATTCTGTCCACAGGGCAGGAATTGGCATTCTGTTGAAAACACAATTATAAAATTAGCAGTAGGATCAACAAGGCAATCATGTTATAAAGGCATAATCCCCATCTCCGCATGCCAGGGTGCTAAGGGTAACCCTGGATTCTGAACTACCCTTTCAGGCCCACACCCAATCCCTGTCCAAATCATGCCGCCTCAACCTCCGCAACATCTCCAGAATACGCCCCCTTTCTAACCAATGATACCACAAAGCTCCTAATTCACTCCCTGGTTATCTCTTGCCTCAACTACTGCAACTCCCTCCTCATTGGCTTACCTTTACTTAGGCTATCCCCCCTCCTGTCCATCATAAATGCTGCTGCCAGGCTCATCCACCTTACCGTTCAGTGTCTGCTACCCCTCTCTGCCAATCCCTCCACTGGCTTCCACTTGCCCAACAAATAAAATTCAAAATACTAACAACTTGCAAAGCCATCCACAACTCTGCCCCCAGCTACATCACCCAACCTGGTCTTAAAATATCAACCAAACTACTCTTAGATCTTCCCAAGACCTTCTGCGCTCTAGTTCCCTTGTCATCTCCTCCCATGCTTGCCTCCAGGACTTCTCCCATCCTATGGAACTCCCTACTCCAATCTGTCCAGCTATCCCGTAATCTATCCACCTTTAGACAATCCTTGAAAACCTCTCTTTTTAAAGAAGCCTATCCTGCTTCTAACTAGTAAACTGCCCTTTATTTACTCCATCAGCTCATTCCCACAGCTATTACCTTTTGTATCACTCAACCCTTCCTCCTAGATTGTAAGCTCTAACGAGCAGGCCCTCTGTTTCCTCTTCTACCAAACTGTATTATAACTGTAATGTCTACCTTCATTTTGTAAAGCGCTGTGCAAACTGTTGGCACTATATAAATCCTGTATAATAATAATAATTATTATTTAAATAATTAATTAATAAAAATGGATATATGCAATTGCATAATTTTTGAAAATCTCACAAACAGGGCACTCCTAACCCCCTTGTTTTTAATTGTATTATAACCATACTCCAATAATTTTGTAAAGTACTGCACAAACTGTTGGGGCTATATAAACTCGGATAACTACTATATGCACTTCCAAACTAAACCTTAGAGAATAATCCTCGTACCACCACTGTGTGATTAGGGCATTCTTTACATTGCAGAAGAGATCCCAGTGCACTGTTTTTGGTAAGGGGAGTGCTGCAATGCCACACTTCCCACTGAAGCTCAGTACACATTTTAGGACCTGCCATTTGCAAGGCACCTAGCTGGCATAAGAAGCTTGGATGACATGATGATTATTTACCGGACCCACAAATAATATTTTACCAAAATCGACATTCTTACCATAGAAAAAAAAAAGGGAGACTACAGCATCAGCTTATCTATGGTTATTACAATAAAAAGAGATGATGCATATTGTAAACAGCACACTCTAAACCAGCGCTTTTCAACTAGTGTGCCGTGAGATATTGTCTGGTGTGCCGTGGGAAAAATTGCAATTTCATCCGTAACATAGACCTTTTAATCCGGCCCGCGGAGCGTGATACTGTCAGGATGATCTGTCCCCCTCGACGTATCTGCGCATGTGCCGGAGATCGCCGATCGGCTGCTAATGCCTGAAACTGGCACATGCGCAGATACGTCGAGGGGGACAGATCCTCATAGGAGACAGATTTTCATGCTACACCGGAACGGCGAGAGGAACGCGCGGAGCAAAGGTAAGTGAATTGACACAGGGGGGGCTTGGGGACTTAATATGGGGGATGAATTAATATGGGGGATGAATTACTATAGGGGGGATGAATTACTATAGGGAATTACTATGGGGGATGAATTACTATAGGGGGGATGAATTACTATATGGGGGATGAATTACTATGGGGGATGAATTACTAATATGGGGGATGAATTACTATATGGGGGATGAATTACTATATGGGGGATGAATTACTATATGGGGGATGAATTACTATATGGGGGATGAATTACTATGGGGGATGAATTACTATGGGGGATGAATTACTATGGGGGGATGAATTACTATATGGGGGAAATTACTACGGAATTACTATGGGGGATGAATTACTATATGGGGGATGAATTACTATATGGGGGATGAATATATGGGGGATGAATTACTCTATGGGGGATGAATTACTATGGGGGATGAATTACTATATGGGGGATGAATTACTATGGGGGATGAATTACTATGGGGGATGAATTACTATGGGGGATGAATTACTATATGGGGGATGAATTACTATATGGGGATGAATTACTATATGGGGGATGAATTACTATATGGGGGATGAATTACTATGCTTACTATGGGGGAATATTACTATACTTACTATGGATGACACATACACATCATTCATCTACTCTTGGTCCGGCCCCCGGGTCCAATTATAAAGTACTTTATTATTTCATAATAAAGTAATTATAAAATAATTTCTTTGTGTTTGATTCCTATTCAAGAGAATTACTTTATATATAGTCAATATAGGCACAGAGGTAAATTTTTTTAACATTTTCTAATGGTGGTGTGCCTCGTGATTTTTTTCATGAAAAAAGTGTGCCTTTGCACAAAAAAGGTTGAAAAACACTGCTCTAAACATTATACACAATTGTTGTCATTTACAAATTTGAGCTGTTGAGACTTCCACCCAAAATAGGACGACCTCACATTTTATGCAAATTTGAAAAAATGCACCAAACCAGCTGAGTGGCATTTAATTTATAAATTAAGTGAAACCAAATCAGTACACAAAGCTTACACCTACAACCACATTACAAGAACAAAATAGGGCAGATTAGCAGCTTGAAATAGACTTTGTAGAGGCAACTTAACGCTCACCACTGTAGGTGTACATGGCGTTACAAACCTTAGACCACTCTGCGATGCAGTCCAGGCAGAAGTAATGGTTGCAGTTTTCTGGGGTTCCCACAACCTGGTCTCTGAAGCCATTCAGGCAGATGGGACAGTTCTCTCTTTCCTCATCAGAGCTCACAATATCATTCAAATCAGTTGCAGAAAGAGCAGGTCCTGAGCTTTCTGAAGGCAGCTCTTCATCATCATCTTCTTCTTCTGAATCTAACAGATATAACATTTATTGAAGTCTATGTTGGATAAATGTCTAAAGCAGTTGAAAAACAAATGCATGAAATATACAAATTTAAACACCACAATCATTTATGCAAAAATAAAAATGGTCTAGGCAATAAATAACTGGTCATTATGTCTATGGAGTATGTACTACATTCTCCCCTGTTTTTGACTGAGCTTCCTCCTGGTGCTCCTATTTCCCTCAAAGCCCAAAAACACTGGTAGATTAACTCAGCTTTCACTCAGAATGGCTGTACCAGTGAAATGCAAATGTGATGATGGTAAACACATTATAATGTAAACCACTTTAGGCCCCTTTCACAAGGGCATCATCTAGTCCAACCGGGAACATCCAATCTGTGAACAGATCCTCTGCTGAATCCGAGAAGCGCTTGTGTGATATTTTTAAAAAAATGTGCTTTATGCATACTCATGAGATCAGTGGGTGACAGGATGAAATCAGATTTGCATCCGTTTAATCACTTGCCCTCCAGAATATTTACCCCCCCTCCTGACCAGGTGATTTTTTGTGTTACCGCGCTGCGTTACTTTAACTGGCAATTGCGCGGTCATGCAACTTTCGGTGGTATTTGATCGCCTGTGCAGTTTTTAATTTTTTGCGCTATAAAGTAAAAAAAAAAACCCGACAATTTTGAGAAAAAACTATTTTGTCATAAATTTAGGCCAAAATGTATTCTGCTACATGTCTTTGCTAAAAAAAAAAATATCCCAATAAGTGTAAATTAATTGGTTTATGTGAAAGTTATAGCGTTTACAATGGCGGTCTATATACTGGGATTTGTAAACCATTGTTTACTAGTAATGGCGGCGATCAGCAACTTATAGCGAGACTGCAGCGGGCATTCTCACACTGGGTGGGGGCTGACTTGGTATCAATGACATCCCCAGTGACACCAATACAGTGATCAGTGCTAATAAAAAGCACTGATACTCTACTAATGGCACTGGGCAGGAAGGGGTTAACATGTGGGGCGATCAAAGGGTCAACTGTGTGCAGTTTTACATACTGGGCTGTGTTTGTGCTTCACTGTAAGCACACTGCTTTGCATGGCTGAGCTATGCACAGCCATGCAAAGCAGTGTACATGAGCTGACAGGGGAGAGAACTCTTGTTTACATACAGTTCTCCCCCCCCCGGTCAGAGATGCTCGGCAATCACCAGGCGCCGGCGGCGAGTAATCCTCAGCCGAGAAACAGTGATTGACAGCCAAGGCTGCGAATGGCGGCGCAGGTAGGGCGCATGCCCCCCCACCCGGAAATTTAAAAAAACACATACACACACACATATATATATATATATATATATATATATATATATATATTACAGTGGGGCAAAAAAGTATTTAGTCAGCTACCAATTGTGCAAGTTCTCCCACTTAAAAAGATGAGAGAGGCCTGTAATTGGCATCATAGGTAGACCTCAACTATGAGAGGCAAAATGAGAAAAAAAATCCAGACAATCACATTGGCTGATTTGGAAAGAATTTATTTGAAAATTATGGTGGAAAATAAGTATTTGGTCACCTACAAACAAGCAAGATTTCTGGCTCTCACAGACCTGTACCTTCTTCTTTAAGAGGCTCCTCTGTCCTGCACTCATTACCTGTATCAATGGCACCTGTTTGAACTTGTTATCAGTATAAAAGACACCTGTCCACAACCTCAAACAGTCACACTCCAAACTCCACTATGGTGAAGACCAAAGAGCTGTCGAAGGACACAAGAAACAAAATTGTAGACCTGCACCAGGCTGGGAAGACTGAATCTGCAATAGGCAAGCAGCTTGGTGTGAACAAATCAACTGTAGGAGCAATAATTAGAAAATGGAAGACATACAAGACCACTGATAATCTCCCTCGATCTGGGGCTCCACGCAAGATCTCACCCCGTGGGGTCAAAATGATCACAAGAACGGTGAGCAAAAATCCCAGGACCACACGGGGGGACTTAGTGAATGACCTGCAGAGAGCTGGGACCAAAGTAACAAAGGCTACTATCAGTAACACACTACGCTGCCAGGGACTCAGATCCTGCAGTGCCAGACGTGTCCCTCTGCTTAAGCCAGTACATGTCCGGGCCCGTCTGAAGTTTGCTAGAGAGCATTTGGATGATCCAGAAGAGGATTGGGAGAATGTCATATGGTCAGATGAAACCAAAATAGAACTGTTTGGTAGAAACACAACTCGTCATGTTTGGAGGAGAGAGAATGCTGAGTTGCATCCAAAGAACACCATACCTACTGTGAAGCATGGGGGGTGGCAACATCATGCTTTGGGGCTGTTTCTCCGCAAAGGGACCAGGACGACTGATCCATGTACAGGACAGAATGAATGGGGCCATGTATCGTGAGATTTTGAGTGCAAACCTCCTTCCATCAGCAAGGGCATTGAAGATGAAACGTGGCTGGGTCTTCCAACATGACAATGATCCCAAACATACCGTCCGAGCAACGAAGGAGTGGCTTCGTAAGAAGCATTTCAAGGTCCTGGAGGGCCTAGCCAGTCTCCAGATCTCAACCCCATAGAAAACCTTTGGAGGGAGTTGAAAGTCCGTGTTGCCCAGCGACAGCCCCAAAACATCACTGCTCTAGAGGAGATCTGCATGGAGGAATGGGCCAACATACCAGCAACAGTGTGTGCCAACCTTGTGAAGACTTACAGGAAACGTTTGACCTCTGTCATTGCCAACAAAGGATATATAACAAAGTATTGAGATGAACTTTTGATAATGACCTAATACTTATTTTCCACCATAATTTGCAAATAAATTCTTTCCAAATCAGCCAATGTGATTGTCTGGATTTTTTTTCTCATTTTGTCTCTCATAGTTGAGGTCTACCTATGATGCCAATTACAGGCCTCTCTCATCTTTTTAAGTGGGAGAACTTGCACAATTGGTGGCTGACTAAATACTTTTTTGCCCCACTGTATATACATGCGTGATTTTGCGTACCCGTGCTGCTATCGGGGAAACGGGAAGTGGTTAAATGAGACTACAGCAAAATTATCCAAAAAAAAGAAAGATGAACTTTTCTATTATTTTTTTTTCCCCCTCATATCGGAAAAGACTTGAAGGTAATCGGGTGTAAACTAATACAAATTGTTTACATCCAGCTAGCCATAGACTAACATGGAGCTTTTGATCAGATCTCCCTAAAAAACAGATCGGACTGCCCATGTGAAAGGCGCCTTAGAGATTATAGTTTTATGTAAGTGTGCTAACGTATGCAATAAGATAATTCTGGACACTGACAGTCCATGGAAAATCATAACTAAATCTCCCCCATCTGTTCGAGAACAGGTTGGGCATAAGGGTCTTCTCATTTAAAAAAAAAAAAAAAAAAGGAATGGAACATCCCTTAGAAAGTGTATGTAAAGCCAAAACATTTTTTTTTTTTTTCTTTACGGTAGTTCTAAAGAAATGGTTACGACTTCTGTCAGTTATTCTTTTTTTGGCTGTCTGTGTCTCACTGGGGAGATTTCTATTTACTTCCTGTCCTGGAGATACAAAACTCTCCAAAAGTACAGGGAAATCCTCCTTCCTCACCAGCTGATTGCAAACTTAATGCTCAACAACACATAGGGCAATCTGCTCTTAGACAGTTAGACAGATGCCACTGGAACAGGTATCCTCATTGTACGGTTTTTCCCTCACGTCCTACTACTGAGTAAAGCCGGCCATACATGGGTCGAATTCCAAAAGAATTTTCTTTCGAAAAATCCTAAGAATTTTAGTCTGAATTTCACACCATTAGTGGGCCATAGCGACGGACGTTTTTCTGGCGGCCATCGAATTTGAGTGATCAGGCATGTTGGCAGTTTTTTGCAAAAAAAATTAATTTCTAATCAATGATGGGAGAATCATGCGAGAAATTGAATTGGAAAAAAAAAAAAAAAAAAAAAAAAAAAAAAAAAAGGAGCATGAGCTGTGACCTGGAAAGAAAAGAAAATTCTTGATCAAATCTCAAAATCAATGGTGGCAAAACGCACAAAATTTCTGATTTTCTAAAGAAAATTTGTTTGGAATTTGACCCATGTATGGCCGGGCTTAACATTCTGGAATTCTCATCACTTTCAGTCCCACTGACAATGGACAACTGGACAAATGGAGCGAGTGAATCTCCCCAGCAGGGACACAGACAGCAGTAAAAAACCAATAGGCTATGGCTTTACATATATTTTTAGGGACACTATACTTCCCAATTAATATTACGTATGGATGGATGCTAGTAATAAGCAGAACTGACTTCAGACAAACAATCCAGTCCCAAGCTCTCCCAATAGAACTACAGACCTTCATTTGTTGCCTACGTGTACGCACTCCAGCATTTGCTGCACGTCATTGCTCAAGGCCACTTCCTGAGTGACAACAGTGGAACACATCTGAGCAATGTGGGTCAGCATGGTTGCTTTTAGTCCCAACCAGAACATCATGGGACAGTGACAAACCAGAAGGAACAATTTGTTACCCAACAACAGAAAGTAATTGAACTGAAATATATTTATATTAGGATCACCAGATGTTATTTTGATAAAAGCTTGCAAAAAAGAAGAAAAAAAAAAAAAATAGTGACTGGATTTTCTAATCTCTCCATGTTAAAACTAACCAGATCCCCCCTCCTCTTCACCATCCTCTTCATCAAGGTCGACGTCCTCTTCATTTTCACTGCCTGATTCTTCAGACTCTGCGACATCTACCACGGCAAAAATTCCAGTATCATAATTATGCATCAAAATTTATCAGGAAGGTTGAACATTTTTTTTAAAAAACTAAACAGATCTTTATATACAGATACACAAAAAAAAACTAATGTATGGTTAACCTTTACAAAAGACTTCATAATGCTACAGCACATTTTAGATATACAGTACATAGTTAAAATAAAAGCTGTGATATTGTCGAATTCATTCCAGCTCCAAGGTGAGGCAGGGTAAAGATCAAATTATGTATTTATTAAAGCATCCCTTTCCTTTGCCAGTGGCACACAGCACACCCTGCGGTCACAATCTCTGCTCACCAACTAGGTACCGGCCATCATGTTTCTCAAAGTATATAGGGAAACAAAGACTGTCAATCACAGTCCAGAAGAAACCTCTGGCCCCTCCTGTGAAAGTCACGTCACCTGTTCTCTGCAGGGTAGTAGTCATACATCAGTGATCGGGATGAGAGGTTAGAAATGTAGGTGTTGTACCACATACCAAGAGCCCTAAAGCATGACTTCTATGTGCCAATACACTCTATTCCTTTCTGGAGAAGCAGACCACAAACCACCGTAAAAAAGGACAGCTACTGCAGTGAAGCTAGTTACATCCCATGTGATTCCAAAAAGTCAATTGTGGAAACCAGAATGAACATCCAGAGTGATTCCTTACACCTTTCTATCTGGTCTGCAGTCATACTGTTCTGCACACTTTACAGTGCACATTGCAGGCAGACTGAATATAGGCATGTTAGGAACGGATGATGACTAAAAGATAAAAACAATTTAATATTTTAAGATTACCAGACCTTTTCAGTTGTGGTGGCTGCACTTGATGTCAATTTTCAGGCCAGGAACATTTTTATCAAATCTAGAGAATACTTGTCAGCAATACTGTTACCTCCTGTGAGATGAATCCCCCCCAACTGTGAAAAATTACAATACTCAATATTGTTCATAGGTGACACTTTAAAAACCTTTACAGCTCAACAGTCTAGAGTTAACCCCAAAAAAAAGACCCTAGAACTCTGCCTTCCATTCCAATGTGCGGGACAATACCAATATGTGTTACCTAGTCCTTGACCCCTGATGTCAACCCCTTACTCTACCTTTGTGGATTGAGCAAAAACTGAAAAATCTGCTTTCTTTGAAGATCACATCTATATTACAGTCAGGAGCCAGCTGAGAATTGTAAAACAAGTTCATGGCTTCTATCGCCATTAGACTGCTTTAACCCTTTCAATGCCATGACATGTAGAACATATTAAGGAAAGGGTTAACATGATAAAATATGGAAATGTGAGTCTTTTAAAGATGAACAAAATGTTTTTTTTTTTTTATAAATTCTGCCTTGAGATATGAGGGTAAAAAGCATTCAGTGTGCAGCTCCCCCCCTCAGCCCCCTATAATTCTTACCAGAGCCCTATCTTGATCCAGAGATGTGCATGAGAACAGTAGCTCTCCCTTCTCATTGGCTGAGACACAGCAGGGGGAGCCAGCAGGGGGTAGTCAGCTGAATGAACACTCCCCAGAGCAAGCAACTTGCCCCCAAACAAGCTGTTTTAAAATGACGCTATGACCCTCCCATCCTGCTGAGTACACTATATTGTATAGTATTGGGACTCCTGCCTTTACACGCACATGAACTTTAATGGCATCCCAATCTTAGTCTGTAGGGTTCAATATTGAGCTTCATCCTTTGCAGCTATAACAGCTTCAACTCTTCTGGGAAGGCCGTCCACAAGGTTTAGGAGTGTCTATGGGAATGTTTGACCATTCTTCCGGAGGAGAGCATTTGTGAGGTCAGGTACTAATGACGGGCAAGAAGGCCTGGCTCACAGTCTCCCCTCTAATTCATCCCAAAGGTGTTCTATCGGGTTGAGGTCAGGATTGTGCAGACCACTCAAGTTCCTCCACCCCAAACTCGCTGATCCATGTCTTTATGGACCTTGCTTTGTGCACTGGTGTTCAGTCATGTTGGAACAGGAAGGGGCCATCCCCAAACTGTTCCCACAAAGTTAGGAGCATGAAATAGTACAAAATGTCTTGGTATGCTGACACCTTAAGACTTCCCTTCACTGGAACTAGGGGGCCAAGCCCAACCCCTGAAAATCCACCAGACACCATAACCCCCTCTCCACCAAACTGGGTATCAGTAATGTGCTTGACTGTAACTATTTTTTGCAATAAAACATTTTATTTGGCTTAACTATTTCCCCATGTGATGATTTTTTTACGTGACAGGTTCTCTTTAATAAGACATGCAGGGTCGAAAAGATCCTGCATGTCTGCTCTAGGCTCCACTTAATGTATTGCAATGCAGCGTACCGTTACCAGGTTGTGTGCAGTGAATTGCCGAAAACGCAGCCACCCGACACACAATTCCGGTGGCTGCAGCCCCTGGATTGTTTAAAACCCCCCCTGCTGTCAGGTCCATACGATGTACGGACCTGGCAGCAAAAGGGTTAAAAGGAGAAGTATGACCAAAGCTCTTTTGGCCATACTTCTCCTGTGGGTTACAGAAGCGCACTACGTTCTGCACTCCTGTGACCCAGATTCAACTGACAGCAGGCTAATGCCTGCGGTCAGCTAATGTCACATAGTCACTCCAGGCTCTGCAGGGATCCCAACAATAATGGCAGGATCCACCCAGATGGCTGACCAGTCCAACCTTTCACTGCGCCGCTGAAATCCTGAGCCAGCCGTTCCCACCCCCTCCACAATCCATTGCTCCAGTGAGCACTGGAGGGGCAGTGGTACAGTGCGGGGACCGACAGTCACTGCTCTAGGGTCAGAGAGGATCTGAGAACTGAGCAATCAGCAGTCTTTGATAGCTCACTCCTAAGTGTATAGCCGATGGGGGACAGCTCGGATCGAGGCTGCAGACATCTAAGTTAGCATGTATTTTTGTTATTTCATAATTCCAGCAAGCAGCGCTGATCAGTTGGCAAAAGTCCACCAGGGTCATTGTAAAGATTCAGTCGGTAGATCAACTTCTGTACAACCACCTAAACTATACATGGATCGAAATTCAGGTGCTCCCTTCTGAACAGGCCAAATTTCAACTCATGTATTGCCAGCCTAACACCCCCTACTCTAAGGCTGACAATGCTGCTGTCCAAAGACGCCCCTGTGCTGCTTCATCCAGAGTAGGGACAATAATACAGGGGGGGTGTGTTACTGGCCAGATCCCCAGGTGAAAACAGAGGGGGAAAAAGCCTTAAAAAAAAAAAAAAAAAAAAAAAAACTAATGCAGCCACCACATGTAATGATAGGTAAAGTCGAGTATCTAGCTGCTCGTCCCCAATACAATGCAATGTTATGGTTGCTGCATTAAAGTCCCATGGGGGGGGGGGGGGTTCATGTGTAGTTACATTTTTGGTTTTGGGTTTAATGCCGCTTTACACAGCACGTTTCATTAACACAAAACATACAATTAATGTGCATTTATTAAAGGAGATGCTGTGAGAACAAACAAAGCAGTTGAGTTCAGTGGCCTATTTTACTCATCAAACAGTCATTACCATCATCACTAGATGCAAGAATCCCTTGGCGCCGGTTTTTTACCCTGCGAGGTGTTCCTGTTTATTAGATTATCTTGATTCTCTTCATCATCCATTGTTCTGCATCAAAAGACGCTCCCTGCAAGATGGAGGAAACAGTCAGTAACTTAGAACATATTTAGAAAGATTGTACACCATATCCTACTATCGCCTGAAAAGTCACACGGGCAGTTCTTTCAACATGGAGGTTCATCATTGAAGTGGTCGTTGCCTAGAGCGTTTTGTATGCAAAAGCAATCTGCCTAAGAACACCCACTCTTACATTCTGACATCTACCCATCAGAGTATTTTGATATTTTTGTAACTTCTTCCAGGAGCCAGCCTACTACTTGCATCAGGGCTGAGAAGTCCTGGGAGGAGTAAGGAACATGGTGCTGTGATGATATCAGGAAGTTATGTCCAGCACTGTGCCAGCCCCTCCCACCAGCCACGATCTGCTTACTTTGCACAAGGAGAATACTATTGGGTCTAAAATAAGATATGAAACAGAAACATATAAGCAGATTCATCGTTCGCGTTAAATATGTTACTGCAACCTAATCGAATACCTCTGTCCTGGCTGGACAGCGATACAAGTCTTTACTTGTTTTTACAGCTCTGACAAGACTTCAATTATGAAGAATCCAGAGGAGGTTCATGAGCACAGTACTCAAAGATTAGATTTCAGACAAGATCTCATCTCCTACCAGGGTAACCACATAAGTAGTCTTTTTTTTAAAGGTTCCAAAAGATATGTGAAAGAAAAATGGCCTCCACTCATCTCTATGCCCTTGGAGGACCGGAGCGACGTCATTACGTCACTTCCGGTTCTGGCACATTATAAACAAGGCCATTTTTTTTTTTTTAAGCACTAGATCAATTTTTTTTTTTAATCTAATACTTTACATTGTAGAGGAGAGATGTGGGGTCTTATTGACCCCATATCTCTCCATAAGAAGGATCTGTCACTGCTTATTTCTATCACAAGGGATGTCTGCATTCCTTGTGAAAGGAATAAAAGTGATTAAAAAATTGTTTTTTTCAAAGGGACAGTGTACGAGAAAAAAAAAAAAAAAAAAAAAAAGGGTAATAAAATAAAATAATAAAAAAAGTTTACAGTGCCCCCCCCCCCCCCCCCCAATGCTGGCATGTAGTGTTGAACGCATACGTATGCCACGCCCACATATGCAGACGGTGTTCAAACCACACGTGAAGTATCACTGCGAACGTCACAGCAAGAGCAATAATTCTTGCGCTAGAACTCCTCTGTAACTTTAAACTGGTAACCTGTAGAAATTTTTAAAGCATCACCCATGGAGATTTTTAAGTACCGTAGCTTGGCACCATTCCATGAGCATGCGCAACGTTAAAGCATGACATGTTGGGTATCTATTTTCTCAGCGTAACATTGTTCATATTTTAGAAACAAAATAGGGTATATATTGTGTTAATGTATTCATTAAAGTCTATTTTTTTCCAAAAAAAAAAAAAAAAAGTGTTTGAAAAATATTCTCATTTTTAAAAACTGTCCACTTCAGTTTTCGGCCAAGTGCATCCTGTATCTTTGGTTTGAGCACCAGAAATTTCAGTGCACCATTAGTAACACTAAGTGACACTATAGTTTTTCCCTTCACTCTTTTCCCTGGAAGATGCATTATAGGTTATGTGAAGAGGTAAAGGAAGGTTGGAGGAGCTGGGCCAGCTCAGAGTAAGAAGAGGAGAGAGATACGATGTGGCAGTAGTAGTCAAATTTTCTTTCCCACTTTAAACACTAGATTTTCATACAAAAATTCTCAGTACAATCGATGAGTTGTAGTTAAAAAGTACTTCAAAATGTTGTTTGTTTTTAACACTCAATTTTGAAATGGATGGACTTTCTAAAAACAAAAACAACTCTCACTGTTAAAAATTAGTTTAGTCTAGAAAAAAATTTCCATCCCACTGCTTTGAATTTTCTCATCACTGCGGTTGAAAACGAATAATAATTTGATACTCCAACTATTAAAAAACCAAATGAATGAAAAGTCTACAATGAAGTTTCAATAGTGTATGGCCAGCTTAACTTACTTCCCTATCTGTGCCAAATTCTGCTTTGGATTTTTTTCCCTAACGTTTTATAGCATAGTTACCCTCTCAGAAGAGAACCATGGTAAAATTTACAAATCCTACCACACTAACCAACCAGTTAACCTCATCAGTCACATTGCATATTTGTAAGATCATAGGTTTATACAGTGGACCTCAATGTGTCCTATCCAATGTACTGTTCATAACATTTCATATTTAATACTATTTCTATTCAAATGCATTTTTCATTCTTTTATACATGTCTATATTGGAGTTTGTGGCCTGTACACGTTTACGATGTACCTTTTTTCTTTAAACTCAACATTCTATTAGGGGAAAAAAAAAAAAAAGTTTTTTTGCAAAATTACAAATCGGGCTTTCACTTGTTTTGCAGTGGAGGCGCTTCTGTCTAGCCACAGATTAGTGGAGGGCTGTAGTGATGGTTGTCCTTCAGGAACTTTGTCCATCTGCACACCGGATCTCTGGAGCTCAGTCAGAATGACCATCAGGTTCTTGATCACCTCTCTTACTAAGGCCCTTGTCCCCCAATTGCTCAGTTTGGCCGGGCGACCGGCTCTTGGTTGTGCCAAACTTCTATTGGAGAAACATGGAGGGAACTGTGCTCTTGAGATCCTTCAGTGCAGAAGACATTTTTTGTAGCCTTCTCCAGATATGTGCCTTGCAATACTGCAACAGGCAGTTCCTTTGACCTCATAGCTTTTGATAAGATACAGTATTCATTGTCAGTTGTGAGACCTTTTATAGAGATGTGTTCCTCTTCAAATCATATCATTCAAAAATCAACACTGGGGAAGGAGGTCCATCCCCATCTGAGATCCCCACAATATACCCGTTATATAAATTAAAAAAAAAAAAAAAAAAAAAAAAACGGAGAATATTATGCATAGAATTCAAATGTAGCGCCTAGGCAAGGGTGACATGAACCATCTGGCAAGATTTTGGGAACAGTGAAGATTCCAAAACTCACAAGATGACGCTCCCTGTACTTCCCAAACAAATAAGGAGACCTAGTGTTTTAAACACAAGAACTATCAGCTGTGAAGTATTCCTATCCTCTTTAGGTTGGCCATATTGAAGCCACACTGTTCTACATAGCATTTGTTATATGACTAATATTATAAAGAGGACTTGTTTAACTCCCTGCTGATTTTTCACACCCTCTGCCCTGCACCATCTGCAGCAATGTGTGGCATTCAAATGCTCAGTGGGAGAACTGCTAATAAAAATTGTCCTTTTAAGACCTTACACCTAAAGGCCATTAGAATAATTACAAAAACTTTATGCTTTTTTTTTTATCATTATCTATTTGTGTTAACCAATTCAATACCGGGCAATTTTACACCTTCCTGCCCAGGCCAGTTTTCAGGTTTCAGCGCTCTCACACTTTGAATGACAATTGCGCGGTCATACAACATTGTACCCAAACTAAAATTTTATATTTTTCTTCGCACAACTAGAGCTTTCTTTTGGTGGTATTTAATCACCACTGGGGTTTTTATTTTTTTGCTAAATTAACAAAAAAAGACCAAAAAAAAAAAGTTTTTCTTTGTTTTTGTTATAAAAGTTTGCAAAATAAATAATTGTTCTTCATAAATTTAGGCCGAGATGTATTCTGCTACATGTCTTTGGTGAAAAATAACCCAAATTAGGATGTATTTTTTAGTTTGTAGGAAAGTTATAGAGTTCACAAACTATGGTATAAATCTGAATATTGATCAATCCTGAAGTACTGACAGCCAATCTAATTTCTTGAGGTCCAAGAATGTCAGAACAGTACAGAAATCCCCCAAATGACCCCTTTTTGTAAAGTAGACAGTCCAACGTACTTCATAAGAGGCATGGCGAGTTTTTTGAAGTATTTTTTTTTTTATAATTTTTCGGAAAATGAAAAAATAAAAAAAATTAGTTTCACTATTTTTTTTTTTTACATACTGTCACCAGTGCAGTACAGCGTCATCATATAACTGGCATGGCGGTGATCAGGGACACTGACTGGTGACAGTATGAAAAAAATATAATATATTTTTTTTTTTAATTTATTTTTATTTTTTATTAAATTTTTTTTTAAGATTTCTTTTTCATATTTCACTATGACCAAAGTAGTACAATGTTACCATAGTAACATTGTACTACTTTGGGGAAGTGATCAGTATTTTTTTTTTTTTTTTACACAATTTGCTTATAGCAAAGAGTTACTTTGCTATAAGCAAGCATTTACCTGAATGACATCGATTCATTCAGGGTTTTTTTTTATTTTTGTGCTTAGCTGTGATTTGGCCACGGCTAATCACATGACATGTGCATGTGATTAGCTGTGACCATTCACAGCTAGACACTAGTATACAATGGATGGCATAAATTAAGCCATCCATTGTATACAACTGTCATGTGACCTGCTGTGATTGGTCACAGCAGGTCACATGGTACCGGCAACGGGGCCGATACTCAGATCTGTCATCGGCCGTGTCCGAGGTACACGGCCGGTGAGAGATCGCGCCGCTCTGCAGGAGCGCAATATGCGCATGTGTGGGAAGACGCCATATGGCATCCACCCGGAACGCTGATGACATTTGCCGCCCGCCCTATGGCCATAGGGCGGGCGGCAAATGGTTAAATGGGCACAAAAATCGTATTTAAATATACTCCTTTATAGGTAGGTGGGTGTGTGCGTGTGTGTGTGTCTCCTTTCCAAACCCAGATATTACTTATTAAAGTTGGGATGCCATGGTCACTGTACTACGCAGAATGCACAACTGCAGGAAAGCCCAGCAGGCCCATCCATTACAGGTTGCCTGCAGAAAGCTTTAGTAGAGGGCAGATACAAGACCAGCCACCCTACACAAGAAGAGAGCAGCAGTGACCGATCTGTATAATCAAGGACAACAGCTGCACTCATTAATTTATTTATTATTAGGCGCGGGTGGATACTGTATATATTCTTTTCCTACATTAGTTGAACAGCAAAAGAAAAATGCAAAGTAAACCAAGG